ACAATTGAGATTATCGTTTTAGTTTTTAACATTTAAAATTATCGTTTTAGTTTTTAACATTTGAAATTATCGTTTTATTGTATAACATTTGACATTATCTTTTTACTGTGGAACGCGCAAAGTATGCATGTAACATATAAATGTAGTCAACAGTACAGTACGAGGATAATAAGCAACGCAAAAATAAGGTTACATAGAAATAGTGTACCAATGAAAAACTAAAAAGCTGCTAGGGTGTTCCATTTATGGATCCGGTCATGATACAACGCATCCCAACCCTCTACGCTTGCTGTGCGAATGTCGTACCATCGAGGTATGATCGGTGGGACAGGAAAATCGGATGACAGGTCTAGTCGGATGAAATGTTTGTATGACGACCCAAGAAATGCAATAGCTAACTCTCTGACCGGTGTAGTGACAATCTCACGCGAAGACCAAGGGAGAACCGTTGTACAAGGATAATAAGCTCGACTATGCAATCCCAGCCCGAAATGCATTACTGCGCACTTGTAAATGTTTGCAACGACAAAGAGATCTAGTGGCGCGTCGAAATAGTGATTTAGACCGCAAGGTCCTCCTCCCCACCGGATACGCCGCAGAGCACTATCCAAGCGGTCCTGGTACACATGACGATAAACATCTCGGTTAGAGGCAATTTCACTATACATCAACTGACGCACTAAACCGTAGTTGTCTTCGCCCATATGAAACACATCAGCCACGACCCGTAATCCGCAGTTACCATCTCCAACTACTTCATTCCAGCCGTCCAAGTATGACATGATGATGTTAGGTATCCTATCCTTGTATGGAAACTGGTCAATATCAAATCAACCTGTTGAACATATCATTAAACACAGTGAACAAGTCAACAGTAAACTCAAAACCATTATAAAACGTAAATTAAAGTAAGCTATTGTACCAGTGTCGGGCATATTCACAGACGAAGATGACTGGCTACGACTGGATGACGATGTACGACCACGACCACGACCACGACCACGAATGTACTCAAACGCGCTCCTGTTCCGCCGTTGGCGACCTTTAGGTCGCTCGACCCCTTCAGGTTCCTCGTGATCTAAGCAGGCTGTGTTGAACATGTCATACAGTACGTGAGTAACATCAGAATAATGGAAGGATGACTAGAGGACACTCGGTCATACATCGAACGAAACTGCTCCAACTCCTCCTGTTCGCGGTCGACCGTCTTTGTATCTGCATGCTCACCAATAACGAGCGTCTGCCAGAATGGATGAACATGATCAACGTGTAACGACGTCCTATCTTGGGTAATTACGTGGTGAATGGTGCATGCGCAAGGTAATCCATGAGTTACTGATATAGCACATCCACACCGAACATCAACTTCATCCGCCAACTCCCTCATCCTGTTGTGCTCGGCCAGAATCAACCCCAAGCAGTAGTGTGACACACGCCCATGTAGAATCTTAAATATGAAATGGCTATACATCGTACCATGTCGACGCCTAGAGTCCTCCAGAGAATTCCTGATGCCATTCTTCTGAGTTTCAATTGCCTTGTTTATTCTCTCGAACAGTGTATCCTAAGCAGCGGTGGAAGAATCAGTCCAGTCCTTCGTAACTCTATGAGCACTCTCAACTCTGCATGTTGTAGTGTTTCCAAAATGAAGTACTTAGTTTGTCCAATATTTGACAAACTTTTCACTGTGAGGTACCCACTGCTGCATCACATAGTTTATCAGCGCCGGACACCATTGGTACGAATCCCTGAAGTTAGCCAAGGCTCGATCGTACTCTGCCTCCACTTGCAGGATCTTCCGCTACTTACCATTTACCAATCTCTCTGCACTTTCCAAATTCTTGTTGAAAAGGTTGTAGGGTTTCACTTTCACATAGTTGTTGATGTGCCATGTGCATAATAAGTGCTTCTATTCTGGAAACAGCTCTGCTATGGGGTGCAAAGAGACCTCCCTCACAATCACTGACGATCGCTGATGGCTGAACATTAGGGCCGATGAAGTTTCTCAGCTTCTCCAAGACCCAATGATAACTCGCAGCCGTCTCATCCTTGATGACTGCATGACCAATAAGAAAGTTATGATTCGTTGGAGTCATCCCAATCATCTCAACCAGTGGGAACCTGTACTTGTTTGTCTTGTACGTTGAATCGATCAAAATCACAGATGACCAAGACTTGATCATATCAGCACAATCAGGATGCACAAGGAATAGATGAGTCACCTCCGCTGTATCTTCATCAGAATCATACCAGAACAGGTAACCACGTGTTTGTGCCTGGTGTAGAAGCTGTTGTATAAGGTTCCTTCCCTCTGACCGTTCAAACATCAGTTGTTGTTTGACGTTGTAGATGTGTCTTCGGTTTGGCTGGTCTTCAGGAAATTTCTCTAGCACAGATGCTAATATTTTAGCAGGCTTCACTTGAGCATCACTCATTTCTTTGACAACCAATTTTGCAGCAGGACTTAAGTCGCTCAATTGTCGATGACCCACTTCATATACTATCATCTCATAGTTGTGATACCCCCATTTGGAGTAACCCTTCACTTCCCAACCTTCACGACTCTCTAGTTGCCGAACCTTTACTCTGAACTCACACCCACAACCTTTCCGCTTTGTATCAAACCGAGTGGATGTACTGAAATCTCTTTCTTCTCTTTTGCGATAACGGTCGCATCTCAAAATGCGATCCATTCTACCATCTCATTGAGATTTATGACTTGTTACAACCAAGCAAAAACACTAAGTAATTGCAACCTGTTTAGCCAAATCAATCGCTTGTTGAGCATCTTCGAAGGGACCATCATGTACAAATATCCCACTGTAATCATTTCCGTCTCCACCATAATCCTGCATCAATTAGATATTATATTTAAATACATTTAATTATGTAAAGCGTAAATTAACACAAAATTAAAAACATAATTATCTATAACAATATTCATACACATACAAAATTAAAACATAATCATTTATAAAAGTATTCATACACATACAGAATTAAAACATAATTATGTGTAAAAGTATTCATACACAAACAAAATTAAAACATAATTAATTTTTTTGTAAATTATTAACACAAATCTAATTTCCACATACAAAATTATAAAATAAATTTATTAGCAAATAAGTAAAACATTATTTCAAGTTATACATTTTTTTTACAATTTAAATTTCTCAAATTTATTAAAAAAACAAAAAAAATTAAAATCTAATTTCCACTTACAAAATTATAAAATAAATTTATTAACAAATATTTAAAACATAATTACAAATAAAACACTTTCTTTTTTTTTAAACAATTTCCATTTATCAAATTTATAAAAAAAAAACAAAAAAAAGGCAGTGGCGCCTGGCAGGACGCCGCCACGGTGGGAGTGGCGCCTGGCCAGGACGCCAGCACTGTGGGAGTGACGCCTAGCCTGGAAGCCACCACCACGGTTTCGGCGTCCTGGCCAGGCGCCATCCCCACGGTGTCGGCGTCCTAGCCCAGGCGCCACCGCCATGGCACCGGCGTCCTGACCATGCGCCCCAACCATGACGGTGGTGGTCCATGCTCACGCCTCCGACGATGTTTTACCTCGTTTTGCTGCGACGACGACGGCTCTTCGGCGTCCCTCGACTCTCCGGTCTCCCGCGGGGACCCAGTACGACTCCACATTTTCCGATGTTAGAATTTTTCGTTTTTTGGTAAGATTTCACAAATGGGCAAAAGAGTCAAACCAAGTGTCTTTTTTAATTCGATTTTTCAATGTCAGAATTTTTCGTTTTTGGTAAGATTTCACAAATGACCAAAACTGTCAAACCAAGTGTCTTTTTTAATTTGATTTTTCGATGTCATAATTTTTCGTTTTGGGTAAGAAATCACAAATGGGCAAAAGTGTCAAACCAAGTATATTTTGCGGGCTTTATGTAGTAATTTGTGGGCGATGTTTGACAAATCCCCCACCTAAACACCTCTCCCCTTCCCCGCCTGCCGGAACGTAGTCCCACCGTTCCCCCGACCTCGAAAACCGCCGATCCATGAATACGACCTAGGTAAGATTAATTTGGTTAGAATCATTTTGATTGATATTGAAATAAAGTAATTCGAATAAATTAAGTGTAATTTGATTCAAAATATTGCAATACGATTCAATAATTTGCATTAAAAATATCGATTGAATTATATCGCTAAAACTAAAACTTTGAAGTTTTGTTTAATTCACCTAAATTTCGAATCAAAAAACTGTAATTGATGAATTTTATGATTGAATTTTAACTACAGTTTAATTGAATGCAATTAGATTGAAAAATTCACCCGAAACAAATTATTATAGGAGAAGAAAATATCAACAGCCCACCTGGATGGTGCAGTGGCTTGGCGGTGAAACGGAATGTATGACAGTATAGCGGTGCTGTGGTGGCGACCCCTCTCCCCTTTCCCCTGCTCAAAACGACCCCAGGATCCAGAACCGGCTCCCTAAGTCTAACGGCTGCGATTTTATGGTGGTAATGGATTAATGGTGGAGATTGATGGTGATGATGATCATTGAAGCAGCCAAGCCGAAATGGAAGAGGTAGCAGGGGATGGTCGCGGCGGGTTAAGGAGGAAAGGGAGGGGGCTGGGTTAGACGGAGTAGGGGAGGGGGCTGGGTTGGACGGAGTAGGGGAGGGGGCTGGCCGGAAAGGTGGAAAGGGAGGGGACCTGGGTTGGCCGGAATCAATGGGGGATTGGGATTAATTTTTTTAATTTTTCTTTTTATAAAAAAAATATAAATATAACCATAGTTAATATTTAATGAAATAAGGTTATGAGTGGGATGAAATTTTTTACTAAAGTCATTTTGTATAATCCAAAATAAAGGGGTTTATCATTGGTGCGTAGCAAAAGTTAGGGGTTACCATTGAGAATATCCTATTATTTGAAATATTGAGTGAAGGGTGTAAAATTTAAATCGAAAAAAGGTGCATTTGGCAAGAAATATTATACCAAATAAAACGGAGTGGGAGAGAGAATAATTGGAGAAAATCTAGTGAAGTCTAACCCACTACTCACAAAGTTTGATCATTTATTCTACAATTTTTTAGGAGAAATAAGTTGCAATGAACGAAAAATCAAATGGATAGCAAAATCGTTTACATTCCCATCAATTGAAAAAATATCTAAGCCTGCATAACTTCATTGCTACTAGTTGGTTTGCTTGGCTAACTTGTCTTTTGCGGCTTCAGGACATTATACATTTCGTCTTTAGCGAATCCCCATTGTCAAGTAAAGTGAAGCACTCCACAAATTACACATTTTTCAAACAGAATGCCTTCTTCATCAAACATTGATCTTCTATATTTCAAATTATATTAGGCCATTTAATGTATTGCAATCTCTGAGGAACCATCTTGGCAAGCACAAGCACGGAACATCCCAGTACTATTGAATGGCATAGCGATCTCTCCTGTAGCTGATACAGCAATCAGCCCAAAAGTGCCTTCTGGGTCACCATTTTTCACAACATAATCTGCTGCTTCTTTCAAAGAAACACCTTTATATTCCATAAGTGCAGCCACATGTCGTGCAACAGTACCACGTATGATGGCTTCCCCTTTCCCAGTGGCAGAGACAGCACAATAAGTGTTGGCATACGTGCCTGCTCCAATGATTGGGGTGTCTCCAATCCTTCCAGCCATCTTGTTGACAACGCCCCCTGTAGAGGTTGCAGTAGCCAAGTTGCCATTGCCATCAACTGCAACACATCCAACTGTGCCTAACTGGCTGTCACCACTCACTTCGTGTGTTTCCACTTTCACTTCTTTCTCGATGGACTGAGTGTAGTCTAGCTACAAAAACAAGTACCATTCATAGATCATTGAACTGAAAGTAATGATGCTGACTAGCAAAATGCACAAACTAAATGCACAAATGATTGGAAGACTAGCAAAATGCACAAACTATTTTCTCAATTGATACTGTTAACATGATTGAAAGAGTAGCAAAATGCACAAACTATTTTTTCAATTGATATAGTTAACATGATTGGAAGACTAGCAAAATGCACAAACTAAAAGTACTCATAGCATATACCCTCAAAAATATCATACATTGTTTTTTTTTAAAAAAAAGAAAAAGGGGGTAAAATCAAACCATTAGAACAACAATAATAATTTCATATTTATTCCCTTTTTCCACAATACGTATTATGTGATGCAACCAATTTACTAGAAATATTTTGGCAAATTACCACAAAGTGAGAATTTCCTGTTTATGTTTTCAAGTATGCAGCTTCATATCCAAAGAGACATGATTATACCTGCACTCTGTTTGCTTCTTTATCTTGTTTGAGCCTTTCAACATTTGCCGGAGTGATAAAATGACTTGGTTTCTGAGTTTCAACGCCCTGCTTAAAAAGAAATTAATCAGTATGTATAATATTGCAAGTTTGCAACACGACAGTATTCCATATGAAGACAGTTGATCAAATATAATGACAGCTGACCTCAATAGCTACTTTAAATCACAATATTTTCAATCGAAACATTCAACAGTCAAGAACAGATGCAAGACATGGGTTCACCCAAAAAAAAAAAGCCTGATAAAAAAATTTGGCCATTAAAAAGAAGGGATGCACTCACTTGTTCTCTAGCAAATGCCTCTGCCCCTTCAAATGCAAGATATATATGCGGCGTCTTCTCCATGACTAGCCGTGCAAGAGAAATGGCATTCACAACAGTTTTGAGACCAGAAACAGCACCACATTTCTTGGTGTTACCATCCATAATACACGCTTCCATTTCAACAGAGCCATCAGCGGTCAAGACCGAACCCAGGCCAGCATTGAAGAGTGGATGGTTTTCTAGTTCACGTACCTGTTAAGGTCACAAACTTTTATTATTCTCAGTTCTGTACCAAGTAAATAGACAATCATGGGATCAATTTACTGCATAATAAAAAGATGTTCATCATCTGATAACAGAAAGCAATGTCTATTTCAAGTTAATAATTCACTTGACGACTCAAATTGAAGTAATCTTATATACTCCGTAATTAAACAATCTTAAATACTTGTGCATTCGTACTTAGTACACTCTAGTGTCTAGTCGATATTGTTCCAATTCCTCTTAGTTTAGAATTGACACAATTTAACTAAAATACTCACGGATTAACGGCAAAGCTAATCATTCCAATCTTTTCTCCTAAAAAAAGAAAACCATAAATCAAAAGAATATTTAATAGGTGACACCAATATCCCAATATTTTAAAATAGTAAACGTGACTATTAATTCTGAACACATGACTTAGAAACATAATCAATCAAGCAAGCAACACCCAAGAAAGCATACTCCGTATAGAAAAATTACCACAAGTTCGACGACATCAAGGGGAGAGCGGCCAACTTTAAGAGCGGTGACACCAATATCAAGACAATGTTTGAGGGCTTCTTCACGAGCTTGTCGTTTATCAGCAGGAAGATCAAGAGGGATGTCACCTGCTCCTCCATGCAAAGCTATTGCCCACCCCATCACTTTCTCTCTCCTCTTTTTTTCTGGGTTTCCTAATTAACAAGGTTTTCAAATGATCAAGGTTTGGTGTAGTTGAGCAGTTAGCACACACTACTCATATGATCGTGAAATCCGGTGTCCAATTATTGCTTAATTAATTAAATGGTGTTAGATAATGGTTAGGTAGGCAAAATTGGCCCATTAGCTCAGCTGGTTAGAGCGTCGTGCTAATAACGCGAAGGTCGCAGGTTCGAGACCTGCATGGGCCACTTTTTTAGCATATCCTAGATCTAGGACTAGGCTTAAGGCTTGTCATTGTATATTGTAGCAAACAAAGACCAACTATGTGCATTAACTGAAATTCCGAAACAATATGAGCATTTTGATTGATAGGGTAATAAAAAGTTGGAAAACTACTATTTACATTCACCTCTACAAGATGAAATCTTTCAAGACTATTAGAACATATGTCATTGATAAAACTTTGAAATACACTATGTACAGTTCAAGTAAGACGTATGTTGTAATTTTACAAGGCAGGCATTAAATCAAGAGATTTATCAATGAACAATTCAATCAATCAAAAATGTATTCCAATGAAACACTCTGGATGTAGTCAGTTCATGACGTCAAAACTGAACCTGCATGTAACTAGCAGCAACTAAATAACTACACGAGTCGGGGATTCATATAGTACTTTGCCAAGGTGCTGAAGATGGGATACACACCACAGCCATCCCACATAAGTTATAATTTGACTGGTGCAGGTGAATTTGTCAGCACCTATGATCAGATTTTTTGCAACGGCCATGCCTCTGAAGACGGAAACCACAAACCACAGTTGTTCCTTAGTATATAGAACCTCGGAGCTATCACAATTCAAGATCACCATTTTCATAAGAGGAATTAGAGGTCGAGAAGCTCTCCTAGATGAGATATGGAGCCAAATATGAATTTTCATTGCGCATGGGATACAGAAAGTAGCATTTTAAGTGTCTTCAAGCTTAGGCTGCCACATCCAAATTCACGCAGTTTCTGAAGGGCCAAAATCTTGTCGCCAGTACAAATCTTCCGCCTCTAAAACACCCTGAATAAGGTTTTTTTTTTTTTTTTTTTCCCAATTTTGGGGGAGGGCGGACGGGGAGACAATTATAATATTCATTAGTAATGATACCTAAAAACATATTCTCATTGGCTGCAGAAATCATGCTAACCTTGATAATCATGATTGCAGCATCCTTGTGCAATAGCTCATTATACTCCTGACAGGCGAGTGTCTGTTAAGATGCAAATATGAAGTCACCATGATGAAAAAAGTTACTGTGATAAAAATTGAAATTTTAGTCAAAATAAAGAATTGAAGAAAAAAAAAAAAGAAAAGAAAAACATTTTGAACATACTTGGACACAGTTGGGGCAACCAACATCTCCTGAACAGAAGCATGATGTAAGCATATCCAACGCAGAAGTCAGCAAATCATTAAACAGTGGTCGAATCTGTCCCACCTCAAAATATCATACATTAACATAAAACTCCATCGAGAAAGAGAAAGTGAAAGAGAGCAAACAGCTTGTATTTGCTAAAATCAAGAGGGCAAACTAAAAACTGCCAATGTAACAAGAAAGAGTGGCAGAAAGACATGTGGTGATGTAAAAGTCACTTCCAAGTCTATTGTTCCAAATCTAGTGTATATTATATTTCTAAACCAGTACATGATGAGTGCTAAGAATCTTTTCCTTTATATTAAGTTAAACTCTCATATCAAGAGATTACATACAAAACCATCTTCTCAATATTGGATACATCTGCAACTTCTTTGACTCTTACTATTCATTATTTAATAGTGTGATATGTTTGCTGCATGATTCTTGATAAGTAAGAAGTAAAAAGATAGATCTATGTCAATTACCCGCATTGAAAGTCCTGTTCCTCCGGGACGTTGATCATATAATAAGATTCTTTCTGGTACATAGCGGGTTTCATGAGGATTTGCACATTCTGGAGCTAAATCTGAAGAGTCACAGATTATGTAGCTACACATTTACAAGAGACTCAATCAGGGAAACAGCAAAGTTATAAAAGAGCAAAGCTTTATACAAAAAGGAACAAAGAAAACAAAGAGAAATTTAGGAAGCGGGTTCTAGGTGTAAATTTTGGATGAATTATTCATTGCAAAAACTATTATCATCGATAGCAGTAATTCATTCAGCTCCTCTGAAATATTAGCAGTGGCAGTGTGGCACCAACAATCAATAGATTTGGCGACAAGAGGTTCAGGAGCTTTTGTCACCTGTTTAGCAAATAATAGACAGACAAGAGACAACTGCAAATGCATGGTTATGGTTTTAATCACTAGTGAATACAGGCCACCTAAAGTATCAATAAGGCACAAAGAAGATCAAGATAGGTAATCCCTCTCGGACAGTTAATCTACACTCTATACATAATGCAGTCTATCTTATATTATTTAAAAAAAAAAAAAAGAACAAAAACCACAAATACACACACCTACCCAGCCAAGACCCCATATTAATATTGTAAGTAAAAATCATCCTATAGCACATCGTGTAAATTTAGTGCAGAGCTGCAGATCTTTGAGAAAAATCTTCTAGAGAAAGCATACTATAAGGAGTGAGCAAGATAGTTCCAATTGGAGAGCTATTCAATAATTTTGTGAAAGAATGACTAGATTTCAGCACCTGCTTAATGTAATTCTATACGGGTTAAAGTCTAAAGTTTTAGTGCAAAAGAAGCACGGCCTTGATCCTCACCCTTACACCAATAAAAGGGAGATGACCATTGTCACAAGTTAGTTAAGTCTATAATTTGATAAATGTCGGTAGAAACTAGAAACAGAGATATATTGTAATAAAGCTAGAGCCCTCATTACCCTTCAAACTGTGTATTGACTCCTTAGCGATTAAATACAGCATGTACACAGCTAAAAGATAATAGGATGATTGAGTGTGGTTGGTTCCTAGATGACGAAAGCCATAGATAGTTTTGGCTTGAGCGTTCAGACTTCAGACTGCACCTGCAATTACAGAGTTATAAATGCAACAAATATTTTGCGTCTTCTATCTTTCAACTCGTGGTCTTGCAGTCTAGCAGCTCAAGAGATGTTTTAAATTTACTCCTAGCACCATAAAATTGAATTCCATTCCTTAGTTTCTTTACAGAACAAAAAGAGAATGTTATGTCCAGATTTGATGCATACTTACAGCGGAACTACATTGAGGACAGCATGAGATGCAGCATGTAGGCCGGCACGAAAAGAAAATCCCTCTTTCTCCACTGCTGTTTTCACAGATGTGGGAACTCGAATCCAGACAGCCTGTCACAAAAAACCATTGTGGAACATGAAAAAACTCTTAAAAAGAGACTTGAAATAAACAGGAAGCTGTAATATAAAACACAGAAAGATTCGAGCCTGGTATGCACCTTTGACTCATATGAATATTTGGGAAGTGCAAGATCAACCGTATCAAGTACCCTACTGGTTCGTTTACAAATGCAACGGAAACCAAACCAAGTGGTGGTTACTGTGCAGGAATTTGTTAGGGCAGTTGTTCCATGACACTGCATCTTTGAAGCTCTTATTTGGTAAGCCTATAAAATCATCAATGCAATTAATCAGCATTATTCAGGTAACACTACATCTATAATAATCAAAGGGTGAATTAGACAATACAAAAAAGCAATAAGTTAATAGTCTTAATAACAGGAAAAACACACACACACACACACACTAATTTGGATTAATTGGTATTCTATAATGGAATACTGATCTTGATTATAAAATTTTGATAAGAGTATTACAGTAAGGATGAAACATGATTAAAGCCAGTGATTATTAGACATGGAACAAAAAACGAGAAGGATTATTGATGACAGTAGTTTCCTTGTGTATAACTATTCTGACAATCTGATTACACCTTCATTTCTAGGCTTACACTTGACAAAAGAATTAGAACAGAGAGACAACACCAAGACTTTACAATTAAGAGAGCAACAACATCAACAACAACAACAAAGCTTTAGTCCCAAAATGATTTTGGGATGACAATTAAGAGAGCGGCCCAAGTTATGGCTTAGATCAACCAAGTCCAGCCCACATGGTAAGGATACTACACAAATAGGAGTGAAGAACTGATTTTACATATAAGGGAGTGAACCAGAGGCATTTTTTAACTTTCAAAGAAGTTGACCTCTAAGAGACCTCACTAACAAAAGTCCGGCTTCTGCAAACATGACTCCTTAATGGGAGCAGTTGACCTCTAAGAGACCTCACTGACAACAGTCCGGCTGAACTGCAAACATAAGTACATGACTCCCTAATGGGAGCAGTTGACCTCTAAGAGACCTCACTGACAAAAGTCTGGCTGAACTGCAAACATGACTCCCTAATGGGAACAATAGCTGAGATACAATTTTATTTGATAAGAAAATTCATATTTATTAATATTAGAATGGGTAATACAAGAGTACTTGGTGTCCGCATAAAGAAGCTCTAATTTCGTTTTATAGATTAGCTCAATAACTCTTATTATCTCCACCCCTCCCCAACCCCCCCCCCCCCTTCCTCCCAACAAAGAATAATTTGGAAAAGCCACTATTGCCTTAGGCCCTATTCACTTCACCTTAAAAAAAAATATTCAGTAAAAATTAGTAACTTTAAAGAAGAAATATAACAGAAAATCAGTAAAAATAATTTCAATTCAGCAACAATAATTTTACTTCAGTTTAGCAAAAATAATTTCAGTTCAATAAAAATAATTTCAGTTCGGCAAAAATAAGGTGAAGTGAGCAGGGCCTCAGCCCATAATGAAGCTAACGAAGTCAATTTATCCCACACCAAATCATTCAGGATAGTAATACCCTTAAAAGCTAAACCCTTTCTTTCTAGTAGAACACACCACAAGACTGAAATCATTGTATTTGGCCAAACCTTCTTCTCCTTCACTCTACCATTAGTCCATTACCCACAAATTGAATCTGAAACCACTCCTTGATGTACAAAGAGAAAACCCAATTCTTCTAATACACCACAAAGAGTCTTTTTTAAAGATGACTAGCCAGTAACTAAAAATGTAAACCACTTCTCAAAGAAAAAAATAATGGGTAGACCAGCATTCATTTTTGTGATAATCACAGACAATTTCAAAAGTTCAAAGGATCAGAAAATTCCTAAGAGTCTAGTCATTAAAAAAAAAATCAAAAATAATTCTATCTGCAAATGCAAGATTGAGCCAGAGCCATATTATATCCCACCTCAAGTCTAAAAGATGCAAAAATTGCTATCAACTAGACCACTTTAGAAAAAGATGCAGCATTTTCAGGATATAAAAACAGAAAGAACAGGAAACGAATCATTATCACCTCGGCTATTTAAGGCAGCAAATTAAAACTTGAAGAAGGCACGTCTGGTTCACTACACTAAGTCACAAATTTCAAAGACCAAGATGTGCTGAAAGAATGTAACCGAATTTAGTGTTATAGCAATATCAACTAATTCAATAAAATAGGGCTCAGTCCATGGTCAAAATTACATATTAAAAGGTACTACAAAGTAATGACCGTACAAAGTCTAGTCATTACCCTTCAGCCAAAATTTTATAGATACTACTGAAGTTTAAAAAGCCTAAAGTTATAACCCTTGATTATCCTTTGTCATATAAGAATATAACCCTCTGTTGCTATCATCTTTTGTAAGTTATCCGCTACTCCCTCCGTATTTTATTATTTGCTCCATTTCTCCAGACATGGAGTTTTAGGAGGAATAGTAGAAAGTATTAATTTATGATGGAAGTGGGTTGGTGGAAGAATAAAAAAATCTGAAAAAGCAGAAGTAAGTATATGTGGGGAGGAAGAAAATATGAAAATTATTAAAATATGATATGAGGGGGCCACTAGTGGAGAGGAAAGTAAAACATTGTTCTAAGTTCCAAAAAAGGAAATGGAGCAAGTAATAGAATACGTCCGCAAAAGGAAAGTGGAGCAAGTAATAAAATACGGAGGGAGTATCATATAAGATGGTAGCTCTCTGTTGCTATCAACATTTGTAATATCTATGGCTTCAAACTGTCTCCCAAGGCACCGGCTATGAGCTTATGATAGCTAGAAAAGAAGGTCCATTTCTAATCTCCCCGTAGGAATTCAAACCACAATCCTCAATATACAGGTCCCCAAAGAAAGAAGCTTAATGTCAACAATTATAGTTTTTCTTCCTGATCCTCAAATGTTCACTCTTGATACCCCAATATTTTATAACCATTGAACCCCTTTTTAAAAAATAAAATTGTCTCAAATCTCAATCCTCAAAGCATTGGGGAGGGAAATTATTGCCAAGATAGGTTGCTAAAAGATATGTTTGGGACATCCCAAAGAGTGGATCAAATTATGAGACATAGAGAGTACAATGCTAGCATGACATTAACACCAATTTGCTAAAAGACTGTTGAAATTTCCCACTTGATGCACAAATATGTAAGAACAGCGTATAATGCAGTCTGAAAATATAGGAGTAGGGAAATATAATTCAACATACAAGAGCACCTCCAATGACATCAATGTCAGTGTAGTCACGAGTCTGGGTATAATACTTCACGTCTGCTCTTTGGCAAATTGCAATCTTACTTGATAAATCCAACTCCTTCACTAGATAGGTCTTCCCTTGATTCATGTAGATTGCCCCTTCATATACCTGGGTGTTACAAAGATTTAATAAAAAAATCGATTGCACAAGTACAGATAGCCAGATAGCAGGCATGTAAACCAAAAGTAACCATCATAGCATCAGCATGTCCATATTAAGGAACAACATGATTTAAAATTACAGTGTAATGTCCATCAAAAGAAATAAAGAAGTAAGATCAATTACAACTAACCTGGAAAAAAGCCCTGCTCTCTTCAATCTCTTCAAGAACTTCGTTATTCTTGTCAATTACTTTGTATTTCTCAGACTCAATTGCACGGATACTAATTGAACGAGAAGGTAATTTCTAGCAAGACAAAATAAACAGAGAATAGACAAGGTTAAGGTTTTAAGAAAATATAACTTGCTGAATGAAAACATAAACAGAATTCCATATGAAAGAAAGCCTAATGTATTTCAGGCAACCTTTCCTTCTCTATTTAAGCCGTAACTCACCAAGTGAAGTCATTTACAGGATTTTCAACAAAAATACAGGCATCTACATGAAGAAGCCCTGATCAGATTTATAATTACTTCCATTCTTAATAGAACACTAAGCTAACAGATGAGGGGAAGATCAAAGCAAAGAGGAGAATCGAAGAAGGGACACAAGGAAAGAACATAAAGAGCAAGAGTGAAAAAGTGAGACCTTCTCTGAATGAAAGAAAAAAAAAAAGAAGGGGAAAATGTGCACAAACAAAGGCACCAAAAAAGAGAACAAATACAAAAGAATACATAATTGATGATAAACAAAATTGATGTCAAAGCCTATGTCTAGTGAAAAATCTGAAAATACAAAGACATAAAGTATGCACTGTCAAAATGATGTATCTGTAGTTCAAAATTCTGCGCCTTAAACGGTGTCTTATCATCCTTCTCACTTGACTCTAGTGCAGTATCCTAGTGTCCTAAATTTATATTAACCCAGTATTTGATACCAATAGTACTTGAGCGCAGGCAAGTAGCATAGCTGCACAGCTTCCAGGTTGTGCCCATAACTAGGTTACCAGAAGACACCATCTCCAATATACGCATTCTCTTAAATTACAAGTATATACTAGAGAAAATATCGGAGGGGCACATCGTTCCCAAAATAATCACTGTCAATATATGTATGCCACACATTCACACAATGTTTCATCATATTTCTTTTTTCATATTTTCCCTTCATACACAGAAGCCGCTGTAACTTGTATGATCTTGCCATCTCTAACCCAATATTCACGACTCAATTTAGATAGTGGCTTTGCCTGGTCAATAGTGCACAAAAGGGGCCTCAACGAATTCATGGTCCCCAAATATGTAAATTGAGGTAGAAGAGCTTTTAAATAAGACCTGATAAACATACCTCTTGCCCGATGTAGCTCCATATCTTTGCTGTTGACTCACCAGAGGGGTCAGCAGATAAATATCCCCTGCTTTCAAGTGCTGTAACAGCATCGTTTAAACCAGAGCCAAAATACTTTCCATCATATATCAAACTTATAGGATGCTCTATGGCAGCACAAATTAGGTGCTGCTCAAGAAGCTGCATGAAAGACATGATCAAAGTACATAATCAAGCTTGTGAAGCAGAGGATAAAAAGTAAAACTAGCTTGCTATATAGTACTAATTAATGCAGATTTAAGATATAAATTATCAATTACTGATACCTTTGGGTTTTGAGCATCTACATGGCAGCATTCTACAGGGCTTCTGAATAATTTTTGTGGAAATTTCATAAAATACTGATCCAGTGGTCCCTCAAATGCAACATACACAGCAAGTGACGGTTTTCCTCTTCTTCCAGACCTACCAGCTTGTTGCCACAGACTGAATAAAATGACAGGCAATATATCAGAACCAAAACAAATAATTCCAAGTTACTAAGATCAAATAGTTACAGACTTTACCTAGAAATGCTACCAGGAAAACCTAGATGCAATGTCACATCAATATGTCCAACATCAATACCCAACTCAAGAGCATTAGTTGCAGCGATTCCACAGAGCTTCCCGCTAAAGAATTCACTCTCTATCCTTCTCCTATCCTGCTTCATCACAAAGCCCAGTCACAACAGAGCCATTCACTATTTTAATATAAACTGCAATTCTGGTCTCATAAACCCCCTTTCACCATATACCACCCTTGAATACACCCACAAACATTCAAGAGTCCAAGAAAAAATAAAAGCCAAGCAGCTTAATCAGACAAAAAACAACTCAATTTATGGAAAATTTCATTATCCAATTTCCAAGATGCTTCCAAAAATTAATCTAGACTTCAGCTGCTTCGTAAATAACCACTAACATGCTTCATGCATGCTTATGTACATTAAAACCAAAGGTGTCAGCTAGCTTTATGGTGCTAAAGACTCTTCAATTGACCACAAGTCTAGCACCCTCTACCCTTAAGGGCAGCGTTGGTTGGTTGAAGGCATCAGTGCAAGGAAAATAATGTGGCATATGCCTCAGCACAAACCAAGTTCTTTTTTATTTTCTAAAGACATGTTAGATGGCATTGAACACCAAAATAAAAAGGAAGAACACTAACCTCAGCAACATAGCCACCACGATAAGCACAGATGGAATCACTAAGATGAGGAGCTGTATCTTGAAGAATCTCATGTCTGCCAAAGACATAAAGTTGAAAATTAAAAAAAAAAAAAACCCAAGCATTTGGATCACACTTAACTGCAATACACATCAAGATGCGTCTAAATGGTATAACACAAAAGCACAACCATCGTAATAAAATCAAATGCATGACCAAGTCCATTTTGCAAAAACCATTCACACCAATCTTCATCCTCAGGGAAAAAAAAAAGGCAGAAAATGACGACCATTATGAGCTTAAATCAACAAAATTTAGACTTCACATATGTTTCACTAAAGGACATTCCAGAACCTATCACGAATATCAACACATGAATATGAGATTGACTTACGTGTAAGATAACACAACTTCACAAAGTTTGCGTGTTTTGCAGAAAGCAATACAACGTAGTCCATGCTGCACCATTTCAGCAAAGAGTTGTGAAACCTCCAATATAGGGCTGTAAATACAACAAAAAGATGATGGTTACCGGATTGCAAGCAGTATAAAAGCTGGTATGAATACCAAGGCAGCAGAGCATGAGCAGTAAATCAGTAATATACTGAGCCCAAAAGAATTAATATCATCAGTAAAAGTAAACATAGAAAGAAGGGGAAAGATAAAGCTTAAACTGACATCTAACTATTGTTCAACTTTAAGTAATATTATTTTTCATCAATCTCTAGAAACATCAGCTATACAGAAATTCATAGTTTTGTTTTATCTTTAGAATGTAAGGAAATCAAGTAACTTTCAGAATCCATGTAAATCTGTAGTTGATAGAGATATATTTCCAGGTCTTCTAAAGTGCATGGGAATATAGGCACTAGATAGAACACAGTTAGCAGAAATCTAATTCCGGCAGTAAACATGGTCTTTTAAGCAGTTTATTAAACAGGCTACATGCATTATTTCAAATTAGATTCAAGGCCAGACCTTAAATTTAGAAGGGCAAGGCTATATTTACAACATCCAAGATTCAATTGCACATTGGTAGGAAAGTTGGTGGCTAGTCTACACTTAACACAGTAAGACTCTAATGCTAAAATTGATCTCTTACTAGCTATAATCAGAAACCAGTGGCAAGATAGAGCTGAAAAGGCCTCTTGAATCAGCCTTATCTATTCGAAAAGCAATATAGAGGCTTGAAAGAGATGAGAGAATCATCAAATCACCTTAGCATATAGCATTCAAGATCAGTGTGAAATTAGTAATGGGTTAAACTCAGTATATCTTTATACTTTTGAGAGAAGGGTATCAAGTGATTTTCTATACAGGGAGAAACAGGAATTAAGAACTAATACTCCGCATGAAAGAAAAAGTTTCCTGTTTGCTGTCTAAGGTCTAATCCATCAAGTAAGAGCTGCATTACAGCTAAAACTTGCAGCCATGCCCATAACAGGTCTTAAAAAGTGGTTGAAATATGTTATGTTTAATCCATGTCCCACATTTCTTAGTACAATGAACACTATATACCTAGCTTCCTACAAACGAAGATAAATTTTACCTAGACCTCTTTGTGACAATGGTTTTGATTCTTGTGTCAGTTCGCTGCACCTGGATTTCAGAAGTATATGATCAACATCATATCACAAAGTTACCCACTACATAAAAATATCAAAGAACCATAAAGCACCCACTGTTTTTGGTAACAAAGGTGGATTCCAAAGAATAAAAGACTTTGGAGCGGACGGACTTCCATCTTTGTCAATCAGCTCCATTGTTGGTAAATTTGCAAGTTCCTGAATGGAGAAAAAACAAGCTAACCAGCTCATTCTCATAAAGGGAAAAGATCATTGACAACTGAACAAATAAACAGCCAGATTGATGGAAGTCATGGAACCCACCAAGTTAAGGATAAAATTACCATTGCATGCTCACGGGGGTTGGCAGAAGTTGCAGTAGAAAAGATAAAAGAAGGATCAGAGCCATACACTGCATAAGGCATATGTGGATTACTGGTGATGCTCTTACAGACCTACACCAACTGAGAATAGGATACTATGCATACTAATGCCATAAAGGAGCTTTAAACCGAGTGCATGGGACACATTAGTTAGTTATCACTCCGAATTCATATAGATACCTAAATGAAATTGTAGACATAATATATTCATTATGTGGCACATCATCTTCTTTTAATCCAATGAAGTCAATTAATGGCTTTTATAAAAGTAAATAACAATCAAAATTGATTGATTTGGGCTTTATAAACAAATTTGGCCTTAAAGCCCTATGAAAGAAAGTTGGGCTACGTAAATGGCTGATGGCCACAAAACCCATCCAGGTAGCTACTTGGAGGTTAGAACCCTATAAATTGGAAAGCTCTATATATATATATATATATATATATATATATATATATATATATATATATATATATATATATATATAGAGCTCATCTATTTCAATTTTCTATACACTTAGAAACTAAAGCTACACAAGAACACAAATATACTCTTGCACCAAAGTTGATTATAAAGCTCAAATTAGTAAATTTACTAAATTAATTTTTATAAAAGTCAGCAATTGACTAAATAAGATTTAAGAAAAAGATCATGTGGCATCAAAAAGAATGTTTATGCCAACATATACATACCATGAGAACATAACCGGCGTAGTCTCCTCAATATAAGGGAAGTATGGCATCCAAATGCTCCCTTATAAGCATGTGCTTCATCAAAGACTACATACCTGTTTGATTAATCAGAAATCACATTGTTGGAGAAAATTACAGAAATCACAGCTTTATAGAATTTATAACATATACTTTCAACATCCATATATAAAACAAAAATCACAGCTTTATAGAATTTATAACTTATACTTTCAACATCCATATATAAAAGTGTATTAAAAGTTAAATGCACTAGTATAAAGAAAAGTAAGCAAAAGAAAATTACAGAAATAACTAGATAATAAAGAACAGCAATCAACAAGATTTACTCCTTACTTAAGATTAGATAAAATTCGCTGAAACTGTCCATGATATGGCAAGATTGACATATGCAGCATATCTGGATTGGTGATCAGCTGTAAGAAAGGAAAGAAAAGACCTCAGTTAGGCACAACAGCATGGTGAGAGTAGCGTCCACAATCTTACAAAGTTGATAATTACTTCCTCCGTTTCTTTTTTGTTGACACATTTGTTTGGGCACATTTGCCAATGCATGATTAAACGATAATATCTTCCATTATTAATAAGAAATAAGTATATAAAAGAGTTTATTTGAAAAATATACATTGAGACATATCCAACAAGACCCCACAAGACTATGTTTCTTCTCAAGTATAAATCACAAATGGAAGTGAAAGTAACTTATGAAAAAGTGTCCAAAGTCAAAATGTGTCAACTAACATGACACGCAGGAAGTAATAAAGTACCAGTCTAGCGTTGTCACGAAGCTGATTCCTCTCTTTTTGAGAAGTGTCACCATCATAAACTCCAATATTGACATTTTCAAAATTTTCAGTCATAGACAGCAATGATCGCAACTGATCCTGAGCTAAGGCCTGGAAGCAGCATTAGACATAAAGTAGGTAAATTCATTTTAGACAGTTTTCATCAGAAAAAGAAAATATATCATTTTAGACAGTCAAAGAAGTTGAATACAAATTTAAGTGTGAGTTAAAAATATGTCACTGCAAACCAAATGTGAGGCACTGAATAAAAAAGAGGCTGCAAATCAGTGAACGAGTGTATTTGTGTTTGCATGTGTCTACAAATCTACGTAGGCTACTCTTGTGCAACTTTTGGTTAAGATAAATTTTAAACAATAACATTGTTGGAGTCCGTCAAGGGCTTGAGCAGCATGCCAAATTTCAGAGGAATCAGACACCATTTTAAAGTAAAGGTTGAGAAAGGTCAAATAAGAACATCAATATATCTGAATGCTAGGGATCCCTAAAGCCTAAAGAATTGCAAAATGGGATTTAATAGTACCAAAGATGCAAAAGTGAACTCGTAAAAACTAGACTTCCTTTAGACTAGTTGCGCTAGTCTAAATGAATATCTGCTAAACAAACAAATCTACATATTGTTCAGTCAAATTCTCATGCATGCAGCATGCGTCATACATACAAACAGATATGTGCTAGTGTGTGCACGGGAGAGAGAAATATCGTATTACTGTAAGAGGTGATGGATACAAAACTAAGGGGACCAGGGTCCTCTAAAAAATCATATAGTGTGCCAATCTAGATGAATATCTGCTAAAGATACGCCAGACAAGGACCACAAAAAAATAATACACCACTATTTCCCACAAAAACTCCCAACTAGAAACCATAGTCTGGAAAAGTAACTCATTCCTTTCCATCAACAAAACCAAGGGATAGACATGCAAGATACCTGCCAAGAGGTCTTATTAAGCCTATGTCACTCAAGACTAATCTGACTTGATCCACAAATAAGAGCCAATCAACAAGCAAAAAGTTAGAAATTACAGGCTCCTCACAACCAAGGCACAAGACACGTGTATTATAACTTAAACACAAGGGTCTCCAATTTTTATGATTACCAACAATGTTGAATCCATTCAAGCATGGAAGCCCAGATCTTTTTTTCTTCTCCCTTAAAACCATAACTTGCACAATTTTGATAATATATTACTTCTTAAAAATGAAAAAGGGCCAAAAAAAAAAAAAAAAAAAAAAAAAACAGGCCTGGATAGTGTATGAGGCATACTCTAGCAAACCTGTCACCCCCAAAATTTAGGCTTCTGCTCAAAATGAAAGTACTATAGGAAGACAAGACCCTCACTACCCAAGAATTCAACATTTGAAATATTGTGTGAACTACAGAAATAATAAGACATCAGAAGCATATTGGAAGATAAATCCCCACAAACTAGGATTCCTCTAAAGTGCAAAAATTACTATGGGAATTTACAATGAGGAAACATGGGATATAAAATTCCAAGATTGAAATGGGAGGCAAGTGTACCCACAAGTGGCTCCCATATGTTATTCAGAATACCAGACTATACCTGTTTCGACTCAGTAAAGAAAAAATAAATAAATAAACAACAGCAATAACATTATTAAACTGAAGCTAGATCAACAAAGAGCGAAACAGTAGCGTCTTGTAAATAGGCAACAGACCCCTCACCCAACCAACCTTAAGACTTACATATTATCCCTTAATAAAGAGATAGCTAAAAGGATTACCCTGCCCTCCCTTTTCATGCAAATCATATCTTACATGTACAGTTGGGTGGATTCGAACACAAGGCCACACATTGACTAGATCAAAAGGCAATCAGACAATGAGCACCATCCAATCCACATCCACCATATAACTATAAACTCTTTACACTCCAACTAACCCAAGGTGCTCCAATTCAACCTTTAAGTAGAGCAAATTCCAAATTGGTCACTTCACAGAAAAGACGAGAATCTAGTGTGCTGATGTGGGGCTGGCTCAATTCATTAACTTTGCTAAACATTTGCATTAAAATTAGAGCCAGATCTTTATTTTGAGTTGGCCTGAAATGAGGGAGGACCCATTCTATAAAAAATGTAGTCTTGACTGGGACAGTATGATCAGCACATAAAAAGTATCATCATTTGAAAAATGTAACAACTGGAAACTTCCACTATTTATCCAATTAATCATATAATATATCCCTTTCTCTTTATCATTTCAACACCCTGATCATCAGTTGAAATATGTAACTAGAAGCTTTCTCTATTCATCTAATGAATCTACCTGCTCTCCTTATAATTTCAACATCTGGAACTACACAGAGCTTCAGTAACCAGCTCTGGCAAATTAAAGATGGTTACGCCATTCTATTTTTTTATATCAATTGGCTGGAGGAGTTTAATATGGGCTTTGGAGAACTCCACCTACTTGCATCCACACCAAAAACTAAGGTGTTGTCCACCCCCAACATCACTGCTTCATAACCGTAAAAAAGGCTAGCCCTTAGAAAGCTTGAACCCATTCTAATCTTACTTTCATGTCAAAAAATTGTCTCATCATCAACCAACTCACCTCGGACAATCAAAAGAGCATAGAATATAGCTTATTGAAACCCCTAATCCAACAAGGGACCACAAATGTGGTGATATATTGAACCAGAAATCTTTAAATCAGCTAAGCATAAGAGAACATAAAAAAGACAGCCAAATTAGCTGAAGTAACACAATCATTAGAAACTTAAGGGAAAGTTGATAGAGAAAAGGAGTAATTAGAAAATGTAATCCATCATCTCTCAAATAACAAACAATTATTATGGAGAGCCTACCATCAAATACATCTGAAATGAAGTTTTATAAGAAAACAGTAAAAACTTCATAATTGTCCACACAATCTTGCCAAGCACAATTCAGTAGAAAAAAAACAAGAAGATAAGTAAGGCCAGTGATTCATCCAATTCCCTTACATAAGCATGCCTGATTAAAAGTAAATATCAAAACATATTCCATATATAAGACTGTATGTGAGTGTATAAGTGGGTACATGCTTGTTTATACACAAAAAAACAGTATATTCACCTTAGTAGGAAACAGATATAGAGCACATGATAGCCAGTTTTGGGATAATGCTTCTAGTATTGGAATATTATAGCACAGAGATTTCCCGCTAGATGTCATGGTGGCTACCACGACATTTTTTCCACACAAAGAAGCCTTTATAGACTCAGCCTGCAGAAAGGTAAACTTAATCCACATTAGTTTTATGGCTTTAAGCAAAAAGTTACAAGGCACATACGGTGAAACAGACCTGGTGGCTATACAGCTTAGTAATTTCCAGAGTCCTTAGAGCACTCTTCGCATTTTCTGATAATTCATCAGGGATATCAGTGCACACTGCAACTCTTGCAGTAATTTCTTCTATATGTACTATCTGCATCCAAATAATAGCCCAAAGCAATTAACAAGAACCCTTCTAATCTTTTATTTTCCATAGGCACTTTGTTCTATAAATATTGGCACATTATGCTTTTTGGTCAAATGACTAAGAATATTGTGGTTAGGGAATAAGGGAGGCAGGGGGGAATGGGCACCAGTCAGCAAAGCTTTACAGGCTTTACCTTAGTTTTAAAGGGCGCAAGGTGCAACAAGGCACAAAAATCCTTAGGGCCAAGGCGCAAGGCAGGCACTTTTTGTAGGTAAGGTGCACTTTATTTATATTAAAAATTATAATATTTTCTACTCCCTCCGTCCCCGAAAGAACGACCCTTTTGGGTTGATTTCGCGGGTATTAAGAAAGTTATTGGAAGTATAAGAGTGTATGGGGAAGCTAAGAAAAGTAAATTGAAAAGGGAAATTTACATTGGAATTGCAAAAAAGTAGAGAGAGAAAGTAATAAAAGTATATAGAAAAGGCAAAATTTGCATGGGGAAGCTAATTTTGCACAAATATTATTGCAAATTAGAGGGTATTAAAATGGTAATGGGATGAACATTTTGGGACTAAAATTAGGCCAAAAGGGTCGAACTTTTGGGGACGGAGGGAGTATTAGATAAGTCTAAAAAAAGAATTATGAGAAAAGGTGAAAAGGCCATATGATCAATAGCTAGGATTTGTCAAATGGAACTGGAGGATATGGAGTTACTCTCTCCTCTAGACTGACCATCACAAAGTCACATGGTGTTTTTATTAAAAAAAATAAAAATAAAAATAAACAAATAAATAAATTACGCATTAGCTATTTACAGCCTTACAGCATAAGGTGCAAGAAGCAGCCTAGAAAAAAGTGCATAGGTTTGCACCTTTTGTAGGTCTTTGCACTTCGCAGAGCTAAGGCACCACCTCTTGCGCCTAATTGCACCTTGTGCCTAGGTACACCTAACTCGTGTTTGTTAAAACTAAGGGATTTGCAAGCTTCTTACAAAGAGTAACTTCATACATTATGAAAGTACCTGTCCACGAGAGCCGATGCCCTTCCTAAGATGTTCAAGCATCAACATGGGTGAAAGTGGATGAGTCTCCTACACAACCAAGCAAGCTGATTATTAAAAAAATTAAAAAGATCTATAACTTTGTGGGAGGTGGGTTTTTGAGCTCTTTTTTACACAAAAGAAAATACAAGAGTGGTAACTAAGAAGGCTAGAGATGAGAAAGGTCTAGAAGTGACGATTGAAAAGCATCCAAGCATAAGAAGTAAATTTAAAACCAAATCTTTAAATAAAGTTCTGAACGATCTGAAACTTAAAGCAGTTATAATTTTTCTTGGAAACACAAATAAAAATCAAGAATACGAGAGTGCAACTCTATCACAGAAGTGGATGCAAATAGGAAAACAGCACATGCTACCCCTACAACTCTCTACCAAAATCACTGGAAAAAATGTGATGAAAAGATCTGCCATAAAGACCTTTCTTGCTCAATTGCACCAAAACAACAAAATCACACTTGTTCACACATTAATTTCTCCTTGAAGCTTTCTAAGACAAAGCCACAACGCCCGCAAGTCATGGAAGAACAAGTATACGGCAAACACCTTGGTAATAGCTAATGAAAGGAAACAGTTGGTTACATATAACATGTACCACGGATAAATGCCAGAAAAAAACACTTGAGAAACAAGAATAATGATCCACCAAAAGATTTATGAAGCTAAATCTCCAGAAACATTAGCACATCTAATATGGAGAATGAGAAAAGCAACAGACTAAAAAAGACTTCCTCCGTATTTTTAGTTGAAACGTATTCCTTTTTGGGAAGTTTTATAGTTGACACGTATCTATTTGAGATATGTCTTGTACAATAATTGTCAATTTTGCCCTTATCTCTCTTCTCTTTCCTCCTCCTTACAGACCCACTCCATCTCTCTCCTACCTAACCCACATACTCCCTCTTAACCTGGCAACATCTTTTTTCTTTCTCCTCCGTCATCAGAGTCCTCATCAGAAAGTTCCACCTTGGCTTCCATTCCGACACCACCGCTACACGTAGAACCTTAGTCTCCTCTAGATCCCCACCACCATGGCTGCCTCCATAAAACCTTAACCATCATATCCTTCACTGAATTCACCTCCAAAAGCCCCAAATTGGCTGTCCTTCACCGTTAATAATTTTGCCTAGCTACTTGACCGTCGACAATGGATGTTCATAAAAAGTTGTAGCATATTGAATCTCAACTTTAAAATTTTGACTTTTTGTCAATCTTTCTTCAACGTAGCAACAATCCTCCATCACTCAACGCTAAATTGATTAAAGCGTCGATGTTCTTTCATCCTTCATCGTCATCTTGTTTTCCAATTCTAGATCCAAAGGTAGAGGCGGTAACAAATTGAAAGTTGGGGTTGTAAATATTTTTGGAATTTATTAATGCTGAGTAATTTTGTGGGTTTTATGTGAGGAAGAAGGTGTTGACAAAGGTAGGATGGTGGTACCGGAAAAGTAGATCAATGTGGTGGTGGAGTAGAATCAATAGATGAAGTTGGGGTGGGATGGAGGTGGCTCACGTGCTGGTCAGTAATTGGAGGAAGGAAAGGGGAAGTTAAGTAGGGGTATTACTGTCCTTTACATTTATATCTTACTTCTCCTAAATATGTGTGCCTAAATCAAACTCATCAACTAAAAAGAAACGGAGGAAGTACTTATTAATTATCCCTCTAAGACTACTTAACCTTAGAATAGAAGTATCCAAGAACACTAAAGAGAGTGCAAAGGAGGTCAGACAGTGATGCAACACCCACTCCAATTCTCAAGGTATCTGCATATGTGTGCCCAAACAAACACTCTATGAAGGGGCTTCCTCTCAATACCCTTCATAAAACAATCCCTGCCCTATAACTGAATAAATTAAAACAAGACAACAGAAGTATATATAGCATTGCCCTTAAAGGAAAGCAAGAGGAAAAACATACACAACACCGCACTTCGATAGAGCTTCTATTTTTTTCTGCACCAATTCCGTAAGAGGATGAATCAGTTTTCTTTACAGAAGTGATAAGCTCCTCCAGCGAAGCAGCTTTCGCATAGATTCCATCAGGCTGCATAACATGATTGTAATAGAGTTATAGCTCTAATAATAAGAAAACTGGTATCATAGGATAGCATTCAAATTCAGTATAAAAACAATTGATAAAATTTTCGAACACACTTAGAACACAAAACAACAAAAGGTGGCCTGCATCAAATGTTATGAATGATAATTTACACAAAAATAAACCCCGTTGCCAAGGATTTTGATTATCTTAATAGAGATATAACAAGCGGTAGATTTATAATAATGATCATGTTAAAGCGCAAAAGCTTACTGAGTACCCAGATGGTGTTGAATCTCTAGCATATATGAAGATTCAAAAAAAAAAAAGAAAAATAAAAAATAAATTCAAGGACAAGTAGTAAACTCGTAAACTATCCTGAGCAACATTATGTAACTCCGGGAAGGATAAGGCACTAGGGTCTCACGTATCCTAATAATCTAATATCATCATATCATGTCAATTATCTCATTAACTAAATCCAATTACTATGCTCATTGCAAAGAGGACTTCATTCCAAAACAATAAAAAGGTCTCATAATCTCTTGCCTTTTTATATGATTACTCACAACTACCCTTTGCTTCTTCCCAATTGGAATCTTTTTGTGAGATAAAAAAAGTTAAAGTGGGAAAAATAAAAAGGATGGGAGGGAGTACTATTAAGCTCCTACCAAGCAACAAAACATCTCCCACTCTAACACATTTTACTCCAACTTCCTCCAAGGCTCTAAGAAAAAATCCTCCAAATTATAGTCATGGTCCATCTTATTTCCCTCTAATTTTATCTTGTCTCCTATGTTCAAAATTTATAATCCACAACTTTGCAAAAAGCTCTCTTCCTCACCTATTCAATAATTTAAGGATTGATCGCAAACCTTCCACCAATAAGGCCTTGTTCTTTTCACCTAATTTCTACTTGTGAAAAAATATTTTTACTGATAAAAATAAGCTTACTAATCAAAACTGATTTTTACTGAATGCAACTTTTGAGAAGAAATTCATTTTATTGATTGACACTAATTTTTAGCGATCACAACTCACAAGTATATTTTGTTGTATAAAGTTACTGAATTTTGCTGAATAAACTGAATTATACTGATAAAAAGATTTACAACTTAAAGTTACTGATTAAAAGTTATTTTCACGGTATATTATAATTCAAAGGTGAAAAGAACAAGGCGTTAGTTAATAAACAAACTATGTAAATGGTTAATTTGGTTGGATGTAGGAAAAAGGCCATTATATTTGTAATGAAATATAAGATCAAAAGTAACATTATAAGGATAAAAGCATATAGTATGCAGTGTTCATTGTAACAATAACAAGAACACAAGAAAAACAATAACATTCATATACCATAGTACCATATGAAACTCTGTTATTGAGGACCATAGAAGTCAACATTGCAGATTAAATTAAATGAATAGTATTTCTTTGGTCAGGAATACGACACTAATTTTTTCAAATAAAAAATAAATAAATAACACATCTAGGACCAAAATAATTGAGCAATGGAATGGATCTGATACTTACATACCAAAAGTAATCTGAAACCTTCCTCTAAAGTTGTTCTGAAAAGTATTTGTCTTCTATTTATCGAACTAATTATCTTTGACACAGGAACCGTTTTTCGAGCTGTAAACATGAAAATATACAGGAATGCAATATCTTGTAAAATCACATAAAGACAACATTCCAAAATCCAGAGCATAAAGGAGGAGTTGGGGGAACATAAAAACACACATCACTCAGGAAAACAAAAGACAAGGATCTCACGTTCCAGCACTTTACCTTTCACATTGCTTTTAATATGGTCAGACTGTTCCCTTGAGAAATTATTTATCACAATAACATCAAGTGACATCTTACTTTCTGTTTCTTGGTCAATAAAATGCACAACCTGGGATCAAACAACAAATTCAATTTAAATTTAAAGATCGTCAACACAGTAACGAAAAAGTGGATGTTAGCTAGCTTGGAGTATTAAATCTCCAGGGGAATAGTAAAAGAGATATGGTCTAAACCTACCTGCATCCAGAACTAATGTGTATCATAAACAAACAAATTGGTGTGCACTATAAAGAACATCATAGCAAGACAGACCTTGTGTCGGGCATCAAATTCCATGTCATTGTAACTCATGCATGTCACATATTTATCCATACTTATGCATGAAAGATCAAATGAAGAGATATAATACAATTTTATATCCAACAGCATAATGTTCATGTTCAGCATGCTAATAATAAAAATAAAAAGTGAATAGTACCTCAAACAAAAAAGGTGAAATTTTGTTATTCTCCCAAGTAGCTTATAAAAACAGAGTACTTATCTTATTATTTTATCTTAAACGAACCTATTACCTATTAGACCTTATTAGAACTTATAATTAGGCCCTTATTGGACCTAGTCGACCCTTATTTATCCTATATGAAAACATTAGCCCTTATCTCATTTTATCCAAGCTTATTAGCCCTTATTTTACTTTATATCAAGTAATTAGACAAGCCTGACTTTAGTGGAGAAAAGTTGAGACTTCATTCACCATAATGAATGATTGTGTAACCAGAGGAAAAGTATACATCCTGTAGGCTACAATTTATTTGTCCTTCAACCTCATCTTCCATGCTACAAGGACGGCTTTCACTTTCCCAGACTGAACTTAAAGAATTCCAATCAATGCCACAAAGAAAGCACCGAAGGCTAAAGCCATGTTCCATGAAATCTTTATTTAACAGCCATATTCAATCATAAGGATCTTGGAAAAGGATAAAGAATTTATTTGACCTTGATCATTGGAGAGCAAAAGGAGGACCACACGTAGCCTTCTCATGACTAATCTCCAAGATATGATAATGGGTATAATTATGTCAATGACTTTGAAAAGTTGGCCTCCATGGGTCCATGTCTATCAAACAAGAAAATCAACCAAATTCTTATTTCATGACTGCAGAATGAATCAATGAACAGCCTCTAATATTGGGAAGCTTAAATATAAATTCAGCACAGCCATTTAACTTACTATGCATTAAGCTGGCTACAAGTTGATATCTAATTAGAAATTGTTATTTGATTGACATTAAAAGTTGATCTACAGCCATTCTTATTACTGTTGACATTCCCAGTTATAATCTTTCGCAGGAATAATCTATGCTCAAGATTAACTAATCCAGCCCTAAACCTCAACTTTTGTTCAACCATGAATTTTCCATCACTGAGATTTTCACCTTGAATTTATCTATAGATTAGGGCATATAACCCACTTGATGCACGCACCATAGCTAGCCATGTCAGGGGAACTCTTTTTATTTGGCCTTATATCACAATTTTTAGTTGTTGGCAACATTAATGAGGGAAAATATGTAACCAAATATTTTTAGGGGTATAAATGTCCGCATACTTTTTTAAGAGTTAGAAAAAAAACAATTAATACTAATGAGGGCAAATAAGTAAATAAACATTTTAAAGGGTATAATTGTCCAAACAATATTCATAAGAGATATCTCAAACTTTTTAAAAGGTAGAGAAAGGGATTAAATAAACACCTAGTTAAATTCATATTAAAAGTAACAAGAACACGAAGCCCTCAGCCTCATGTCAAATCTCTTGGAGAATGAGAATACAAATAAAATCTACAGCAGAACTATGATTTGCCTGCAGCTTGGACAGCCGTGATTGTAGTATAGGACAATAAACATTTTGAATTAACTCAAAACATACAAGACTTAACAAAAGTTCCTTAGTTGAGAATTTGAGCTATCATACTTTAGTTTGTCCTACAGTAGCCAATAAGGAAACTAAGAGAGCAATTTAAAGTGGGCTGAGAAAGACATGTAAACACAAGGTAAATCAACCAGGAAAAGCAACTGTAACAAGCCAAAAAAAAAAATTAGCAGGGGATGTATCACAGAACACATAACAAATTGGCATCAGATGCAATTAAGTTGGTAAGGAACCTTAGGGCAGAGATCTGGCAGACGCTTCAAATCTTCCACACAACCACAGAAACCAAGTTCACGGAGTTTATCAATTGAATTCTTGACAAGGTCAAACGTAACAGCTTCATGATTCACTTGAAGAAATCCAGCAAAAATGTTCAAGAACGTAAAGGACTTCATCATTATCGTTAACCATGTTGGGCAAAGGCATGAGCAAGAGGGCTGGGCCGGCTGGCCATTCTCCTGCATATTAAACTTGCTAGATAACATACAGTTCCCAGTTTCTGCATCCGATAAACAACGCACGGACTCCAATACCTTGAGGAAACCTTCACAAACTTCTTGATCAAGAACATGCCTTTTAGAGGAATGCAGTAAACTAGATATAAGATCATCAGCAAGCCCTGCCTTATTTTCAACTTGAGAGATCTTTCTACGCTTTCTTGAATAATTACTTGAGAGATTCTCATTTATCATGTCATCTTTACTTTTATCAAAATGATCTGGCAAACAACCAGAATGTTCTTCAGAACTCATTGTGTTACTTAGATACGACAAATCTTCCATCATATCACGCCAAGCTGATTCTGCTACGTGTGAAGGTTCACTTTGTGGAGTAGTCTGTGAGGCTACTCCAGATTCCTCAGAGTGTATATTTTGGGATTTTGCTTTCTTTGTAAACGGCATAAGAGCGACAAATTCTCCTGAGTTTATGGAATGACGTCCTATTTGACTCTTAACACCTAATTTCATACCCTGGGAAACACAAAGCAACTCAACAGAAATAAGCAACACGTTCAAAACATAAACAACATAGTACTCGGTAAGTCCCATACTAACAGTCCGACCTTAACTTTCTTCTTAGCTCTAAACATCTGTGATTATACATACGGTTTCCTCAAATCCTCATTAAGTGATTATACATTTATACACTAATAGTCAAATCAAGAATATAAAAATGAAACCGAGGTAGTATAAGACATAAAAGCTATAATACTTAATCCACGGATTCGACTATTCAAGCTCATAATATCATCACAATAATGTAGCTACCCTAACCCTTACTCAGGGGATCAACATCCAATCCACTAACCAATCATTGTTTTTTTTCCGAACAAGGGTACACAATCAAGGATTAGGTCCTAAACTAACCGGAGTTTCATTAGCCATTAGCCAATTCACATTCAATCCTAAACAATTATGCTAATTTTGACAAATATATATAAATCAATAAAATGACTAAATTCACCACATTAGCACAATGTCGCAATATTAACCTATCATACCATAACAACATATAAATCAATAATTTCAATATAAACCAATTAAAATTGAAAGTAACATGTTATAAATAACAACAATAAGAATTAACAATTACAAAATTGTGAGAAAATTCGTACTCTGAGAAAAAGATGAAAGTCGGAAGAAGAGGCGGGAGGAAAGCGGTTCTTCAAAATGAGTTTGAGGTCTGCAATTGTTTTGGTCGATGAAATTGAAATAGTGATAGATTCTCCGCTTAGGCTGCGCACCGAAATTTCTCTCTCCATTTTTTTTCCTCAAGCAAACGATGATGAAATGTTACAGTATCAATTTATTTCAGTTTCCCGAATTTATTCTATTAACTCATATTAAGACATCATCATTCCCTAAATTTATGTCGCTTTTTCATTAGAAAAATTCTCGCCTAAATGTTTTAATGGCATCATCTTTATTTTTTATTTTTTTAAAACTGAACTACTCTATTTTTATTAATTTGAAAACTATTTATGAATTTTGACTAAAAAATCAAATAGATGCTTCTACAAAATATTATACAAACTGTTAATTGTTGAAAGCTAAAATAATAATTTTGATAACATTGGTTCTAATTATATTTTTTGAAGCATTGGTGCTAATTATATACTACTTATTTTTTTTCTTCAGATTTCATTAATATGCATTTCTTAAATAATTTTCTTTTGACTATTTCAATTATTAATTGTAAATAATGTGGTTCATATATATCCTTAAATGTAAATTATTTTTATATCTAATTATAACCTTTATATACAATATAATGTAACAGAACATAAATTACAAGAAAGATTACTTATAATCGTGCATTGCACGGGGATAACCTAATGGGTTAATATTTGTATAAATGTTAGGTTCTGGAGAAAATTGTCATTTGAATTTTTTATTTTTTATTTTTTCCAAATTTGGAAAGGAGTTCCAACAAGAAAAGAAAAGAAACCGAAAGAAACAAACATTAATAAACTAAACCCCCAGCTAATTAGGAGGGACAAGTCGAGGAATAGCAACCCCTCTAATATCCTCCTCTAAAATGCGGCTAGGATCTACTGGAATACTATTCATTACATCAGGTTGAGAGCCCTGAGTGACTCCGCGGTTGGCCAACCAATCCACCGCTTAGTTCCCTTCTCTATAAATTGGACGACTTTGACTTCCCAATGCGCTTCTTCAATCATCTGTCGGCAATATTTTATGTCATGAATATTCTCGCCTCTTGGAACTTCTGGCTTGTGTAAAGCTTGAACACACGACAAGTTATCCATTTGAACCTCCAGTTGTAATATGTGCAGATTCTTTGCTAACTCAAGGCCACGGACGAGAGCCAATACCTCTGGTCTAAATGCAGAACAATAGCCAAAACTTGCTGCAAAGGTTGTAACATGGTTATACGAATAATCATGAATAATCTGTAAAATCGATTGAGGAAAATAACCAATTAGCTCGTTCAAATAAGAAACCCAAGCGAAAAATTACACAATTCATCTTCAATAATGAAGAAAATCGAGCGGAAGAAATGATAGAGGTGGATCTGAACCACCAAAAAAGCACCATGGGAGAACCTGAACAAAACCCTAGTGAGGCTGTCAAACCACCAGATCCTAGCAAGCCTCTTCTATCTAAGTTTTGGTTGAAAGGTAGAATCTGGAGGGTGCAATACGAAGGAATTCGTATGGTCTGTTTCAAATGTGGGAAGCTCAGACATGTGGAAGATGAATGTAAGCCTAATTAGGATGGAGATAATGAAGTGACAATGATAGTGAATGAAAATCCCCTGTTTAATCAAGGTCTAAAACCAGAGGAAACGGAGGATTTTGGATCGTGGATGCTAGTAAAAAAAAACGAGAGATGGAACAACCTTAAGTTGTGATAGTGAACCCCCTGATCCACGTGTTGGAATTAAGGGTCGAGTCTTGGATGCCACCGGTGTCGAACCCGCCAGAATTAGTGATGATGTTGGGAATACCCAATGAATTTTAACTCTTATTGAGAATCATAAGCCAAGCTTATATGTCCACTCTTCAAAACATACCCGTTTTTATGGAAGATAGCATCCCTAATTTAGTAGCACCTGATTCACTCCTCGTGACTTGTCTAGTATGGAACGTACAAGGAGTTGGAAATCGGAATTTTATTACTATTTTGAAGGATTTAGTTCGCACTAACCAGCCTAATGTTTTGGTCTTGGTTGAAACCCATATGGGTGGAGAGCAAGTAGAGAAAATAGCTAACATCATTGGCTACTCGAGTCACGTTCGACTGGATGCAGACGAGTTTAGTGGAGGTATATGGGCGTATTGGAGACCAGATGTAGGGACAATAAGCCCAATCCATAAACACAAGCAATATATTTACCAAGGATGTGACACATAATGGTGCTATTCCGTGGTATTTCAAAGCAGTGTATGTGAGTCCTGATCCTGCTAAGAGGACAGAATTATGGGAAGAATTAAAGCAATTTGCGCAAGTTCATAATAAACCGTGGCTCATAGCAGGGGATTTTAATGAGACCCAATGTCCTTTAGAACGAAATTCTTCTTGTAGGGAAACTACTCGACGATCAGCTTTGTTTAATAGTTGGATTGATGATATGGATTTGTTAGAGGTTGAATCTACGGGTGTTGCTCATACATGGTCTAGGGACAATAACAATTAGACAAGGAAAAGTGTGAGATTGGATAGAGCACTATGTAACGATCAATAGGCCCTCAGATTTGAACAAACCAAAATGAAACACTTGCCAGCTGTACACTCGGATCACTACCCTATTTTTATTTCACCAAACAGTTTTATTCCTATGCAATCCTTACATTGCCCCTTTTGATGGCTTATCCCTGGAAATTTCAAAGAGGTTGTGGCGAGAAATTGGAAAAAGGAGGATGATCTAATACCTGCACTAGGTAAATTATCATCGGATTTGCAAGGTTGGAACCGTGATGTTTTTGGCAATGTTTTCAATCAGAAAAAAATCCTTCTGGCATGCATTGGTGGTGTACAAAAAAAATTAGCAGAGTGTGCGGACAGAGGACTCATCAAGCTGAAGGCGAGACTAAGAAGAGAGCTAGACGAAGTCCTAGATCGTGAAGAGCTGATTTGGTATTAAATCTCTCGTTGATTGGTTGAAAAACGGAGATCGCAATACAACTTTCTTCCATCTTAGTACGATTGTGAGGAGATGGAAAAATTAAATTGTGGCGATAAAAAATGATGAAGATGAATAGCTTGCAAATAAACTGGAAATTCAAAACCATATAGTGCAATATTTTTCAAAAATATTTTCAAGAGAAGGGGGTCCAACTGTGTTTGACGTACCTCATAATGTATTTCCATAACTTAGCCCGCAAGATTGGAGCTGTTTAGTTCGACCACATTCAACTTTGGAGATAGATTCAGTCATTAAGGAAATGAGTGCCTTGAAGGCCCCGAGTCCGGACGGATTCCAAGCTCTTTTTTATCAAAAAATTTGGGAAGTCGTTGCTAGCATAGTCTACAAGACCATCATACCGATTTTAGAAGGAAATGGAATTCCTGATCGTCTCAATGACACACTTATTTCCTTAATACCGAAAATTGATCACCCTGAATTAGCATCCCAATTTCGTCCTATTGGATTGTCTAATGTGGCATATAAAGTTGTGACGAAAGTTACTGTGAATCGTCATAAGCCAATCCTTCCTCGTTTGATTTCTAACACTCAAGCTAGCTTTGTTCCGGGTCGCCAAATAACGGATAATATAGTGATTGTTCAAGAGGTGATTCTCACTATGAAGCGGAAGCAAGGGACAAAGGGTTATATGGCGATTAAAATCGATTTTGAAAAAGCCTATGATAGGCTAAGATGGTTGTTCATTCGAGACACGATAGTGCAAATGAATCTCTCGATTTTAATTATAGAAGTAATAATGGAGTGCATTACTTCAGCTTCACTTCAAGTACTTTGGAATGGTGAACCCTCACAGAGTTTCAAACCTAGTAAAGGCATACGTCAAGGCGATCCTCTCTTACCATATTTATTTGTTATGTGCATGGAGAGATTTTATCAAACCATTGAGGAGGCCATTGTGAATTAAAGAGGAAGCCAATTAGAGCAAGCAGGGATGGTTCGGCCTTATCAAATTTATACTTTGCGGATGATATCATCCTTTTTGCGGAGGCCGGTGAGGATCAAGCAGCGATTGTTCATTATTGTTTAGGGAGGTTTTGTCGAGCTTTGGGGCAAAAAGTGAGTCTTGCTAAATCAAGGGTGTATTTCTCGGCAAATGTTGATGAAAGTTATACACGAAATTCAGTCAGCTCTGCACTCCAAATGGAAGCGACGGATGATCTTGGTATGTACTTGGGGATGCACACATTCACGAGTAGGGTAACAAAGGCAACTTTCAGTCACTTATGTGAAAAGATTGATAGAAGATTGGCGGGGTGGAAGACTAAGTATTTTTCATTAGCAGGGAGAATGACACTTGCGAAGTCCACTTTGTCAACTATGGCCCTTTACTCTATGCAGACGGCTAAGATCCCAAGAGCCACATGTGATAAGAAAACCCGAAAATTTATTTGGGGAGGAAGTGAGGAAAAACGTGGGGTTCACCTTCTTTCCTTGGAGTTGCTTCAAAAACCTAAGGAAAAAGAGGGAATTGGCATTTATTCGACTAAGCAAGCGAATGCGACGTTAGGTTGGAGAATGCTATCGGAACTGAATGCTCTATGGTCTCGTGTACTAAGAGCTAAATATTGTAAAGGTCTTTGTGATGTGGATATGTTCGAGCCTAAAGCCAGAATGTCTAATATAATGTTTGGAGTGGAATTACTGAGAATGTTAAGACCTTGAAGGAAGGAATTAAAGTTGCTATAGGGAATGGTTGAAAACTCTATTTTGGGACCATAAATGGGTTACGGACGAGCCATTAAGCAACTTATTAATGCAGCCTCTTCCTATGGAGATAGCGGGGGCAACTGTTCAGGAAATGTGGGAAGAAGGGGTAGGATGGAGATGGAACATATTTTCCCCGTATCTTGATCAAACAGTCTTCAAGAAAATTCAGAGTTATGAAGTAAGAGTTGATCCCAACATTGGGGATTTAGTTTACTGGAATGCGGGAGATAAGGGGATGTTTTCAATAAAATTTGTCCTCAGTATAATGAGGCACGAGACAAACACACTTGATGAAGAATGCTGGGAGGCGGTCTGCAGTGCACCGGTAAAACAGCAAATAAGAGCCTTTCTCTGGCTTGCTTACCATGATAGGATCATGAGGAACTTGAATCATTTTAAACAAAAGCTAACTGATACTCCACGATGCTATATTTGCGGGGCAGCAGAGGAGAGCACTCTACACATCATTCGTGATTGCCCTACTGCTTGGGTTGGTTGGAACAAGACAGTTGATCCCTCTATCATGCA